CCTTCTGATCGGAGATCAACCACTGGTTATTGTACTTTCTTAGGAGGTAATGTTGTCTCATGGAAAAGTAAAAAACAACCTATAGTAGCAAGATTCAGTGTTGAGGCTGAGTATAGGACAATGACACATACGACGAGTGAGTTGACTTGGCTATTATATTTCCTCCAGGAAATTGAGTTTTCAGTTCAACTTCCTTTACAGTTGTTCTGTGACAACTAGACAACTATTCATATTGCTGCTAATCCTGTGTTTCACGAGGGAACCAAGCATATTGAGGTTGATTGTCACTTTATTCGGGACAAGATAGTTGCTGGGGAGATTAGAACTCCATTTATGAAATCTGAAGATCAGCTTGCAGATATGTTTACCGAAGCAATGAGTCGTACACGCCTTACAACTATTTGTTCAAATCTTGGATTATATGATATATATAGTCCAACTTGAGAGGAAGTGTTAAGAATAAAATGGTAGTATATGTAAATTGTTAATAGTAAGAGGGTGTATGTGTAATTCTTATTATTGAAGCTTAACTATAAATACAAGTGATGTATGAAAGCTAAGTTAAATTTTTAACCTCTCTCTAAAACTGTGTTAATCTTCTAAACTTAACAAGTCCAAAAAGGGAAAAGATAATATGAAGAGTTAATAATTAACTGAGTACACTTATGGTGGGCAATCTAGCATAATGTATAGGTTTACGGAACCCAAGGAAATCTTACTTTTTTTTGGTAGGGGAGGGGAAAAAGGGGTTTGAACTATTGCCCTCAAGAAGGCAAAGTCTTCACAAGACAAAAAGTACCATTGGACCAAAGGTCTGTTAAGTCAAAAAAATCTTACTTAATGTTGCATGTAGTGACAGAAAAACTTGCTTGAGTAAAAAACCTATTCAAAACATTAAAGAAAAGTGCAAATTCAGGTATTAGAAACATAATAAAGTTGCAACTATGCCAAGATTGCTACCTGAAGAAATCTTGGAAAGAATGCAATGATGGGTTGTTTGGATCAATCAATTATATCATAATCCAACAAATCTGCAACTGTCAACTTAACCACATCATCAAAACAACTAGAATGTGGTGAATGATGACATCTCTACCCATGGATGAATCATAAGTCGCATTTCTGCAAACAATGAAAAACATGCACACAAATCAAAAGCATACACTAAAACACAAAAGTAAACATACTCCTACCCAATACACGACCACGTTTACTTTTAGTAACAATTGCAACACAAATACATACCAATTTTCATGCCTAATCATTGACAAGAATAAACAAACCTTGTAGCTACTTATCGATTGCCCAACATAAAACCTACAAGCAACTACGTGATAATCTAGCATCATTTCGATTAGCCCAAAAAAGGAAAAGACAAAAGTATGAAGTTAATAATTAACTGAGTATACTCACGATAGACTTGTAAACCCAATGAAAGCTTTCTTAATGCTGCATTTACTGACTAAATAATCTGTTTGAGCAAAAAACCTATTCAAAACATTAAAAAAAGGTATAAGTTCGGCACTTAAAAATATACGAAAAAAAGTGGTAACCATATCAAGATTGCTACCTGAAGAAAACTTTGAAGGATCCAACAAATCTACATTTGTCAACTTGACCACATCATCAAGACAACTAGAGAACGGTGCAAGATGGCATCTCTACCCATGGATGAGAATCATAAGTCATATTTCTACAAACACCGAAAAAAAATGCACACAATTCAACAACATACAATTAAATACAAGAGTAAACATACTCCTACCCAATACATGACCACGTTTAATTTTAGTAACTATTGCGGCAGAAATACATACCAATTTCCACACCTAGTCATTGACAAGAATAAACAAACCTTGTAGGTACTTATCGATTGCCCACCAAACCTTGCTGCTACGTGATAATCTAGAATCATTTCGATTAGCCCAAAAAGAAAAAAGATAAAAATATGAAGTTAATAGTTAACTAAGTATACTCACGGTCTGCAATCTAGCACAATGTATAGGTTTACAGAACCCAAGGAAAATTTTTCTTAATGCTGCATGCGGTGACTGAAAAACTACTTAAGCAAAAATCCTGTTCAAAATATTAAAAAAAATGTGTAAGTTCAACACTTAAAAATATACCAAAAAAAGTCATAACCATGTCAAGATCACTACCTGAAGAAATCTTGAAAGGAATGAAATGATTGATTGTTCAGACGAACCAATTTTATCATAATCTGGCAAATCTGTAGCAGTAAACTTGACCACATCATCAAGACAACTAGAGTGCAGGGCATGATGGCATCTCTACCCATGGATGAATCATAAGTCGTATTGGGGACTAAAATGAACTAAATAGTAAACATTGGGGGCCACCACTATATTTAGTCCAACAAAATAAAAACCAACCATGGTGAGACAACAAAAGCTAGAACTACATTATTGCAGCAAACAAACAAAAAACCTATGAAGAATCCACTACTTTGCTTAATGAGTTTTTCATTAAGCAGAAGGAAATTGAAAATAGCCAAGCCAAAACCTAAAGTTAGTGTAAGTGGTACCTTCAGCAATCAACATGCAATCCATAAAGCCGTGAGGATTTATTTTGAGAAGGAAAGGATGGAAGAAATAGGAAGATATAAAAGAAAAATAAAAAGACAAAGAAAATGAAAAACACTAAGAGGTTATTATTGACAGCATAGCATGCAAAATCCCATTAATGGTTTCAATATTGTGCATATTGATGGAAAACCACTATGAAAAAACAATTTTCCTAGCTAATATATTTTAACAAAACATAAAGATCATATCCAAGTATCAAAAACATTGGCACGGAAACCCATACAAACCATATTAAAATAATGATAAATTAAACATTAAAACAAACACAACACGAATACTCCTAACCACACCACTAAAAAAGCCAAAATACACACATGACAAAAACAGATGGAAATAAAGAAATGCAAATACTCAACAAACTACATATACACATTCACACGAATACATATGTACTTACAAACATAGACCCATAAAGTACACAAATGTGCACTACAATAAACACCGATAAGCAAACAAACACGCACTAAAAAACAACGAAAAAACATGCCTGCATTCAACGGTATACACTAATTAAAAAAATACAAGACGCTCACAATAAACACAGTAATCAAAAAAAGTATAGACCAAAGTAAAAATAACACATCCATATGCACAAAGAGCAATAATAAACACACGCCCACACTAAACATAACACACTCCAAAACACATACCACTAAAAATACAAATACGCAAAATACATATGAAGGTGAATAAAAAAAAAGGAAAATAATCATTAAAATGCACATGCACACTAACACAAATACGTATGCACACACAAACACAAACTCATAAAGTACACATGTGCACTAAAATATACGTTGATAAGCAAACACAGACACAAACTAAAAAAACACACCAAAAAAAATGTGCGCTCAGATACAAAAACAACCACACATTCAAAATATAAACTAATTAAAAAATACAGACACTCGGAAAAAACACATAATAATTAAAGAAAATACAGACCCTAAGAGAAAAAACAAACATTCATAAGCATAAAGACGAATAAAAACAGACATGCACTCTTTAATACAGTAGCACCACGCTGATAAGAACACACCTAAAAATACACTAATAAAAATACACACTAACGCAACAAAGTACACATACTGATAAAAACACATATTGACACAACCACACACACAAAAACAAGAGAGCACACTAATAAAAACACACGCACATATGCAAAAACAATGTCAAAGATAAACGAACACGATCACCAAACATAAGTACTCACAAGAATATATACCAGCGGAAATACACAAATATTAAAAACATATGCAAACACTGAGAAAAATGCACAAAGTCAAAAGCATACACTAAAACACAAAAGTAAACTTACTCCTATTCAATACACGACCACATTTACTTTTAGTAACAATTGCAACAGAAATACATACCAATTTCCATGCTTAGTTGTTGACGAGAATAAACAAACCTAGTAGCTACTTATCAATTGCCCAACATAAAATCTGTAGATAGCTATGTGATAATCTAGTATCATTTCGATTAGCCAAAAAAGAAAAAATATAAAAGTATGAAGTTAATAATTAACTGAGTATACTCACAGTGGGTAATCTAGCATAATGTATAGGTTTACAAAACCCAAAGAAAGCTTTCTTAATGTTGTATGTGGTGACTAAAAAACTTGCTCAAACAAAAATCCTGTTCAAAACATTAGAAAATAGTGTAAGTTCGGCACTTAAAAATATATCAAAAAAAGTCGTAGCCATGCCAAAATCGCTACTTGAAGAAATCTTGAAAGGAATGCGATAATGGATTACTCAGATGAATTCATTGATGAATCATAAGTCATATTTCTGCAATTTAAGGCTTGTATTAGCAACTTAAGAGAAAAGATGGAAACAAAAATAATTTTACTACCTAGAGTTTCATATAAAGAGGGAACTAAAACTGCAGGACAACAATGACATTCAATAACCTTTCCACTAACAATAATGAAGCCAACCACCATTAGTTTAGAAGCTGGAGGTCAGGGGAAGAATTTTGGTAAATATAACATTGGGTCTTAAAGTTGGGTCATGCTGCGAGCGTCTCTCAAGCAGCTCAGCCAGCTTCAAATGAGTTTACTTTGGGATAGTGGGCCATAAACCCTGAAAACTAAATCATCAAAAGCACCTAACAAGTTATATTTTCTTAGCACAGTGTTATACATCGTGTGATGGCTAGTCTCTATTTTTTATCGAGGTTTTGGAAGAAGGGTCCTAATCCCTGACGATGGCTAAAAATTAAGTGGTATAAACAGAATATAAGAAGAATACAGTTGAGTAGATGCTTTACCTTTTGGACAACTCCAACAACTTCTTATAACGGGGACAAATACTCGAATGGAAGCTAACATGTCAAAGACGAGACAATATATTATGAAGGAACAAAACCCAATCTCTGGCCGAACTACCATATCAAATTCCTCTTGCCGTGGCACACAATACCTTTCCGGTGAGCAACTCCCATAACACAATCCCAAAACTAAAAACATCAGCTTTGTATCACACAATATCACGTCGATAGCTAAGGAATATCATTCGTCAATTTATATAAGAAAGTGCACAAAAGCAAAAGGGAAAAAAAAGTAATACGCTGTTGAACTTTTTCAGCCACAGCTCTGAACCCATGCCAGCATGCCTTTCATACAGTTTCACGCGCCATTCTTCGTCGGTATTCCCTAACTTAAACGCAAACATCACTGGCTTATAGTTCATGGTAATGACCCTGTGTGTAATTAAAACAAAGGTAAACAAATAAAAAATCAACAACCAAATTAACCTGTGTTGTGCCACCCACTTCAAGAAAGAGGGGAGGGGAGCCTGACAGACAAGAAAAAAATTAAATCATTCTGAACAAGAGTGGTGTACATCCACTTCAAGAAGGATTCTCCTGTGTGTGTGAACATTTACCAGAGAAACCTGAAAGGCAAGAAACAACACAATTTGTAAGCCACTATCAATCCAGATCTCCACCACCGCCTCACATTTTGATCTTCTAATACCCTCATAGAACTCTAAAGCACCAACATCGCTAACCTTTAGTAACTACTAGCAAATCGTAATAATGACGCCATTTATACTATTCATAATTCTTACCACCACCAACTGTTAACTTAATTAAATGTGAACCTATAGAACTGTTTATTAAATGTGAAACTATAGAACTCAAACCCCTGTTAGGACACAAAATTACAAAATCACAAGAAAAATTTAAAAACTAAAGAAAAATGACAGTATGTAAAAAAAGATCATGGTCGAATAATAAAGCTCCAACATGTTATGTAAACAAGTGCACCTCAGCAGCCATCCATCAATATGTCCCAGTTTCTGCCGTCATATCTCTTGTCTGAGCTTCCACTCTGGCAACTCCAAAATCAACCACCTGAACTACCTAAAGTGCACAACATGATTAAAATCTTCCAGACATGCTGAAGTTAAATCTTGACATTTCCACAACACTCCTTAATGACACAAGTTTACTCAAACTTGAAAGAGATACTATGAAGATATACAACATGTATGGGGCTTACAAAAATCATCTAGTTCAAGGTTAAGGAAAGGGAAGTTTTTTGACCCTGCTTGGAGTGCACATGCATGTATAGCTGGGATGCTTAAACTTCTTGAGCCAAAAAAGGCAAGATTAGGCTAGATGATTTTGAAGAGAGATACAAGGACCAAGGGAGCCCAAAGATTACACATTTATACATGGCATTTATTTTGTAAGGCTCTCTCTCTCCGATTGTCGTATGGAATCCTTTTATGTTCATAATTTTGTAGACAAATATGAATCATATGATACAACAAATAAATTGAAATGGCATTATATTTGACCAATATCAATAATTATTCCTTAATTTCAAGAAGAAAGGAAGATAAGAGATTAAGAACCATGCAAACATCCCAAACTGATTTTTGTGTCCTCTAACTAACATTAACAATCCATAATTACCAGTACGCCTTTTTTTCCCTTGGGCAGGGGGGAGCGTCCATATATAGTCATGTACATTTGGGGTAAAAAGCCTCAAATTTTTCATACTGTTTCACAGATATATAGTCAACTCACCAATATAGAAATTGAGGCAAATGAAATATAAGATATGACAAATTCAGAGTCCAACACATAAATGCTGGACTATAACAATAACACATTCTCGTTATTATAGTAATAGAAAGAAAAAAACATCTTACTTCATTTTCATCCATCAGTTCGCAGCCTTCAAGTACCTGTGGATTATATTATTCTGGTGCAAGTAGGTCATTCCCTTGGATAAGATCGCTACTTTTAGTAAAGATGGAAGCCTAAAAGTACACTTTTGCTTGAGTAGATAGTCATATACATTTCCACCAGACATATATTCTGAAACACAATAATAATAATAATAATAATAATAATAACGTAGAGCAAAAAGAACAATATTCAAGTTGGAATGAAGCTAAACATAACAAAAATGTAGGGACAACAAAACCAAGTAAAATCCTTAAGCAACAACTCCTTTGTGTGTGCATAACCATAGTCATCAGTAAGATGATGGAAATTTACCTGTTACAATACACAAACTTGGAGGTTTGGTACAATCACCCATGAATTGTACAACAATCTTGTGTCGAACTTTCCTGCAAGTGCCAAAAAGGAGTCACTTGGGCCGAGATATATGTCTCTAATGAGCAAAAGCTCACTGGTTGAACTACACGACCCAACATTGAGGCCTAAAATAATACACTCACAAAGAACACCAATGGAACTGATCCTGTTTTTTCCCTTGGAGGATTTTTAAGAACATCCGATTTGCATGACATTTGGATGAGTAAGCGAGAGAGAATTAAACTCCTTACAAGTACAAGGGACAAGATATCGGCATACCTACCCTAGGAAGATGGTAGAACTGAACCCATATATTGATGTATCTCTGAAGGGTGGTGTCAATGCATGCAGGCGTGCATGTGAAAACACGAGCAAGATCTAGCTACAAAAAGACTGAAGCTCCTAACTAATCCTTTCTTTTCTAGCCTTGCTTGGGGGAGCACACAAAGAACCATAGACTAGATGCCAGAAAGAAAGAAAAAAATGCACACACAGGGAAAGGGAGACAGTGCTTAAGTAGATATAGAATAGACTTGGAACAAGAATCAGGAATGAAAATTTGAAGCAGTTCTCTCTCTGTGGTTTCATAGAATGCAAATTCATTGCAAATAGTACAGCTCATGCCTACATCAATAGAATTCCACAAACCTCATAATATACACTTCTTGTGAAAACTGTCTCTGCATGTCTGAACTTCCACACTCAGACTTCAGGACTTTGATGGCTACTTCCTGAGTACGGTATGCACCCTTGTATCTGAAACAAACAAAAGACACAGTTAACTGTACACCCAAAATGGACCAATAGCTGTCTACTTGACTGGTATCTAATGACATCAATGAAACAAGGTTTTAAGTATTGGTTGGGACATGAATGCACATTTACTGTCCTTAAAATTTAACGTTCAAAACGCAATAATAAGAATATTATAAACTTACAAGTCACCTTATGACACAGATGCAATTTTGCTCTCAAGTACCAGGTATTGACGACCAATTTCACCAGCATCAGTGTCATCACCAGGGATTGTCATATGATCAAGTACACTTTTGATCCCCTAATGATCATGATCTCCTGGAGGAGATAATGAATGTCAATTTGGCCAAGAAAGTTTCTGCATAGCAACTCAAAATGTCCTAGTCCCCCAGGGGGAGCAAAAGAAGGTAACAGACAACAAATGTAAAGGAACATGAGATACTGGATACATCGAGCAGAACATATCAGATACTATAATACAACGGCATTGTATCCTTTCTGTATTCGGATTTTCCATATTTTTTAGTATTACCTCCACTTCAGTCTCACGCAGTAACACCTTAAATTTAAGAAGATATTTATGCCACCAAAGAGGAAGTTTGTAAGACAACAATTAGAGAGAATTGTTATGGTCAATAAGTCCTGATTAAAATGATCAAGCAAAACAAAGCACATTTGTTGATTGTGCTTAGTTATTTTAATTTTTCCATGCTTTCTAGGATAAAGCATTTAGGGTGAGAAAAGCACAGAGATTATATGCCACAGTTGCAAAATATTCCAAGAGCATACAACACAGATGATTCAGTTGGAACATACTCCAAGAGATAGCACACAACTGAAGCTATTTTCAACTTTATCTGACCAAATGATCTTTTTCCCACCTATAAGTAGGATTTTAATAATTGGTTTGTGGCAAGTGATTTCAAATCTATGGACGATAAGTTTGAAAGAATTCCCTCCAAAATTCCAAATGAAGCTTCATTATCGCCAGCCAAAAAAGCACAACAGGGACTTCACATGGAAGTGAATTGACAACAAATACAAGGAGTATTTAGAGAAATTTAAGGGTAAATTTCACTTTGACACCGAGTTTGGAAGAAAAACAAGGCAATCCTTGAAACTTGTAAGATGACATGGTGTGATCCCAATCGAGGCATTTAATTAAGGATGACTCCCAATCGGGGCATTTAATTAAGGGTGACTTACATACCACTGATCAAACTCAAAAATTATCGAGTTCAAAATTTGTTGTCCTTGGGCTAAACAGATTAACACAACTCCTCCTGTCAGTAGCTCCCCTGGCTAGAGACCTACTTCATCGGAAGCCAGCCTCGCAACCATGCACCCCCCACAACCCCACCAACTCCAGTTGTCCACCCCACCCCGTCCAATGGCACCCAACTATTCTGTCACCTTCGTTGTCTCCCCACATCCGATTTCAACCAAATTCCATCTATTATTTACTTCAAAAGTAAGAGGTGGTCATGTCAGTTGTCAAATGACTGGGTCGTCGTGTTCTTTCAAAAAAAATAAAAAATCAATCAAGTAAGCTTACCTAAAATTTGAAGTTCAACTTACAGCATACTATAGTTTGTTTCAAAGCAAATTTTGTACCTATCCAACAATAAGGGATCGTACAAACTAAAGTTCTATACTATAAAATATCACCTTAGCTACCAATGAAATGAAATAAAATTCTATCTACCCACCATGGCCCTTTAGTAACCATTAGGCAGTTCTATGTTGCTAGGAATGTAACTTCTGTGACACTCCTTGAAAAATGGCCCAATTGCAGGGATACCCCCTATAGTTTCTGTCACTATTTACTGTAACAGAAAGCAGTAAAAGATATAAGTAATCCTAACAAAATATTCCGTTATTTGTCCTATACTAATTACTTAATTTGACCTTAGATTAAATTCTTATTTATTAATATTAAAATAATTTAATAACTTAATTTTTTTACACACACAGACACATATATATACCCTTCAAGTTATTATACACACCCCTCGTGTTGACTTTTAATTCAGTAACTAACATTCAGTTTCATATAATTAATACTAATTGACCTTCAATTTTATCAAATTGACATTAATTCAAATACTAATTTTATCACACTAACATAATTTTATCAAGTTAACACAAAATTAATATTTAAAAATCCAATTTAATCAAATTACCATTCAATTTATTTAATTAATAATTTGGATTCATCAAATTAACATCGTATTGAACTTTAATTTCCTAAAATTAAAATTCACTTTCATCCAATTAACAGCTATTTTATTGGTTTAATATCAACTAACATTCAATTTCATGAATTTTACATGTAATTTCATGAGATTAACATTAATTTTATCAATTTAATACCAAATTAAAATTATAACTTTATCAATTTGATACCAAATTAGACAACGTGCATGTGTGCATGAGTGTTTTGTCTGAGATAATTAGTATGTGAGGTAAGAGAAAAATAAATTTGTAGGACATGAGGGTGGTTTGATTTTAGGATTAGTTTTGTTTAATAAAAGAATAAGTTTGTTTAAGTACAAGATTTATACAAACGTGAAGGGTAAATTTGTCACTTACAAAAGAATATTGGCTGACATCATTACTTTTTTGATGTGTCCGTAGTGTCTTTGACTGCAATGGTAGTATGTAAAATGGACCTATAAACAATAAGGAATGACAATGATATTTTAGAAACCATAGTGGCATTCCTAGCCATTTTCACCGTCAGTGAAATTTACCCTATAAAATTCTATCTAATCTCCATGACCCTTTAGTAACCATTAGGCAACTCTAGGTTGCTAGGAATGTAACTTTGCTAAGTATGAACAAAACGATATACTGATAAAATGAAAAACATACCTCATTAAGCATAGGCCACAATCAATTTCAAAATGGGAAGTGAGATGAATTTCAAATTCTCCATAATGCAACATGGGTTTCAGCATCACTCAGAAATTATCAATTTAGTGAAGCATAGAATAGATGTACCTCAATCTTCAAAACTTGATTTTCCAGTGCAATTCGGAGCCTTTCTATTTCCTTAGAATTGATGGAACATTCTTGTGAGTGATACGAATACAAATGAAACAACACGTAAATATGTACATCTTCAAGCTTGGCCATTAAAAATTCAAATGTGTCTTTGAACAACAACGGACATCAAAAAATCAAGTGCATGACTTCTTTCCTGGACTACATAAATTGATGGAATCTACAAGTCATTTTCAGGAGATCTTGATGATGCAACCATTAAAATGAAAGCAAATATACACAACAGACAATCTAGTCTTAAAGGGCATTCTAGCTACGTAATAAGAAACATTACCGTAAGGAGATACCTCATATGGCCACCATCAACAGCAAAAACATCTAAGAATTACCATCAACTGTTGAAAAAGCATGTGCTTCCTGGATGTTCAGCCCAATCTCATAAATTAAGGAAGTCAACTGCAAATTTCCACATTAAAAAGAAAAATTCATTAGATGCTAAATTGCAATTTGAATTGTATAGATATCACTGGAAGGCAAGCTTGTGGACACATATGCAACCTTATCTCCCCCATTCCCACGAAAAAAATATCAGGCATGTTTTCAAATGTTGAGAAATCAACCGACTACAGTTATGGATTTGGATGTTTTCCAATCAAGCCGAACAGGTGGCTCACTATTTAATCAACTCACCATGACATGTTAGTCACACAAATTTTTTCTTAGATATAGCCTTTGGCTTTCCCTTGTAACACCAACAGAGAAGCGAGAAAATAAAAAAGGAGACAAAATACACATACCCAAGGTTCAAAATTGACATATTTCCACTTTCTTCACAAATGGGAAACAATGGACAAACACTGGTCACTGGTTACAAACATACCCCATTTTAGACTTTTTGTGCTTCATTACACTAAACCCCACACAGACATTTAGCAAATTTTCCTATAAATGTCATTAACCACTAATATTTTCAAACACAGAGCCATAGAATTGGCTTGCAAGTCATCAACTTGAAAAAGGCCGAATAATCAACTGTCATAGGATTTTCGAAGAGGACATAAGGCCTAGATTTGCGCCAGACCGCCAGTTAAAAGTAGATTGCTTCAGTGACATGCCTTGTTGACTGAAAATAGTGTAACTGTGGAGCTTACATCATCTAATTATATACCTCAAATAATATAAAATAATTCTCTATGGATGAAAAGAAATAATGACATAAAAAGATATAAAAATGTCTTGCGATGAATGAAAAGCACAAGGCAGCTTACTGCTTCTAGATCAAATATCAAATACACAAACATCACTGAGACAAGCAGGATAGAAACTAAATGCCTTTTTGGTTGTAAATTTCAAACTGACCCTCTGATGTGTTCATAAACACAGAAATCACATACGAAATTGGTAGTTGTAGAAACAACATAGCCCGATTACATATTCTACCCATCTGAAAGAAAACAATGCTGAATAATCAAATTATGATACAAGTGGCATGACATATTAACTACCTGAGGAGTTTTGGCTTGTCATCTGTTGAAAAGGTGATTTCATGCATGAGCCTACATAACAATCAATTACATAAAGTGGCAGGCTGTTAATGACAAACCCATGAAAGTATTGTTGTAATACTGTCTAAAAATAATATAATACATGTAGACGGGCTAGTGCTTCATTAAAAAAAACAGACAAACAACATATAAAGCTAAATGAGGTCAAAATACCACGTCACTAACTAATGCGACCTATGTTTAGTGGCTTCCTTTATCCTTAATTTTTTCAAATCAATAATGATTCAGTGATTTCTTTTACAAGAATTATCTCATTTGACGAGATTTTTCATTTTCACTCAATTTGTGAAAGGGCTTACCATTAGGAGCCCTAATCTCCTACTGGCATACACCTATTGGTGCATTATAAATATAAGAACAAAAACATCTATGCCCTTTCAAAACAAAAGGTGAATGAGCAATTTCAGAATCTAAGCTGAACCTCCGCACATGATATAACAACACTTAAGCATCTAACAATCGATTGAGGTCTTGGGTCTAAGATAAATCTGAGGCTTCACAATCACTATGATAAGGATAAACAATACAGAAGTAAGATGACAACAGACACCTGCACTCTTCTTTTTCAATCCTTGAAAAAGTGGAGTTTTTCGCACACTTAAAATAACACAATAGGCAAAACCAAGCAAGGAAGTTCTACAGAAGTAAATGTTATCAGAAGAACATCATTCAATGATTCTAAAGAGATTCAAGTTCACATGTCCTTTGAGATCTGTGGAAGCACTAGAGGATTCTTCATAATAAGGAAATTTGTGCACTAAAGCAACATCATGAGTTGTAAAAGATTAAGTATACCAGGAAGACTTTACACTGGCATTTACAACATTGTCCCCATCTTGATCTTGAGATTTGTTTGCTTCAAGTGCAAGGGCTTTGAGATTAGGAGATGATCCAAAGACGAGTGGTGGATGAATGCTGACATAGGGGGGGAAGGAAGAGTCAATGATTTCAGTAATCATCTAATCTATAAAAAAATCAAAGGGTGGACTGAACAACAAAAGAAAAGGACGATGAATAAATAAATAGCATTCAAGATAACTTGCATGTGTTATGGGATCTACATTTTCTAAACTGAATATTCCTTTAAGCTAATCACTTAATAAGTAATACCTTTGACCGATCACCTTCCCTTCCTGGCAAGTTTGAATGAACAGACTCGGCAGAGTTCCCATCAGAGATAGGAGGAACCTGCAAAACAAGTGATTGCTAAAACTAAATTGACCAGCCAACAAAGTTCAGACATTCAATAAACCCATGTAGCCAACACCAAGAAAACATGAATGAAACTAAAACAAAAAGAAATAACAAGAATAAGAACAAGAAGAGAAAAACAAAGAAAAGAGCTCCTTTGAGTAGAATAAAAATAAATCGTGGGAGGAAAGGAAACCATGAGATCCTATTGAGAAAATAATCGAGTATATGCAAAGGAGAACTAAAGAACAAACTGGAAGGGAGAAAGTGAATGTTAACCACTCAAGAAATAGATTAACACAGCTTCAGATTATGAACTCCAAACATTAGCCCAACAAATATATTATTGAAGTTGGGTATATGTAGCCATTTCCAACTTCATATGAGCCTCCATCAAGATATCTCAAAGATAAAGAATTCTTTGTTTGACAATGTCAAAGCTGAAATCTTATCAAATCAACCTACCTGCACTAGACGGACTTCAAATGCAGGTCTATTAGCAGGATCATGTGCCAAATACAGTAACCATTTGTGTGTGTGAGAACGTCTTCCACCCTTTCCACATTCACCATCCAATGCATACCTTCAGTGCACAATATTAAATGCCTCAACACAATCAGTCAAAGGACAAATTCATGCCGCATCAGTCCAATTGATTAAGTTGCAGTACCAACATTTTTTGTGGGGAGTGAGAGAGAGCAGTAACATCCATTGTGCTATCTAATTATACATATCAAAAATGGAAGTATAAAAAAGAACAAAGAAATACCATCAAATTATAATTATTAAAAGTGGAAGTATAAACAACACAAAGAACTAGTGATTTTAAGCCATTTTAATTGCTCAATTCAGCAAGGCATTAATGTGAATATACTAAAGAACCTTTAAAGAAAATTAGAAAGAATCTTAAACAACAGAAAATCAAGAATCTAACCGGTGAAGAAAAGATTGAAACAAGATCTGGATTGTTTAAGAACACACCAGTACAACTTACAAAAGCACAAAAGATCAAAACAGACATGTTGATACATCTACACAAACATACACACTTTATAGGGTAAAAGCCAAAAAGGTAAAAAGTTACCGAGAGGGACACCTTGGTTATTCGAATATTGAAGCCTATGAAGAACCTCATTGTAAACCTCAAGCTTCTTTTTCTGTTGCCGATTGCTCACTAGCGTCGATTCCACTGCTCTACTACTACAACTACTACTCTCGTTGTCTTCCATCACCTTTCGATCACATTCCAAGGAAAAATTAAGAACTGAAAACGAAAAAAATCACGCAAAAAAAATTTCTCTTCGAAGAGGCGTCGATTCGGCCGCTCTACTACTACAACTACTACTCTCGTTGTCTTCCATCACCAATCGATCACATTCCAAAAAAAAAAGAACAAGAACTGAAAACGAAAAAAAATTCACGAGAAAAAATTTATCTTCGATGATCTGAACTCCGAAACTTCGAGACTCTATTTCACGGTAAACGTGAAGTGGATTTTCAAGTAAAGAGAGAGGAGTAGTTTTATCTGGAGAGTGAAGAATTGAGACAACAGCCAAAAAGGTACAGTTATCGAGAGGGAAGCTTGGTTATTCGAATCTTGAAGCCTGTGAAGAACCTCATTGCAAACCTCAAGCTTATTTCTCTGTTGCCGACGGCTCACCGGAGTCGATTCTGCCGCTCTACTACCGCAACTACTACTCTCGTTGTCTTCCATCACCATTCGATCACATGCCAAGAAAAGAACAAGAACTGAAAACGAAAAAAAATCTCGAGAAAGAAATTTCTATACGAAGATTTGAACTCCGAAACTTTGAGACTAAAGTCTCACGGTAAACGTGAAGTGTGTTTTCAGGTAAGAGAGAGGAGCAATTTTATTTGTTGATTGAAGAATTGAGACAAATACATGTTGATTGATAGCGCGTCTCTTCCTCTCTTTTTCTCTCCCTATAAATGGACATTGTACTTGTAGAGGCGGTTGTGGTTCGCATATAATGTTTAACGATTCAATTGGAGGTTTTGCCCGAAGGCAGCTCTCCTCAAATCTTAATTCTTCAATCCAGTGAATTTTTAACTTATTTTTTAAAATTAATTTTTTTTTCAAAAATATAATTTAAAATGTGCTTTCATAAGATAAAACGTCATTTGCAATGACAATTTAAAGTTGAATTTTTTTGACTCAAAACGTCATTCCTAATAACGTTTTTAAAATTGTCAATTGCAATGACGTTTTCTAAAATAAATTTTTAAATGACTATTAAAGGATGTTAAAAAAAATTAAAGGGTAAAATACGTCATTTATAATAACGTTTTTAAAAACGTCACCGTAAATGACGATTTACCCAAATAATTTCCGTGACTCGAATGACAGAAGAGCTAAATGTTTAAAAAAATTTACCTTCTTAGATCCCTCTCTCATAGTCGAATAATCCTCCTCCTCCTCCACTCTCTCAGGTCAGCCACCTCTTAGAGATCCCTCTCTTAGTCGGTTTCTCCTCCTTGTCTAACTAGTCAGCCATCCTCTCTTAGATCACTCTCTCTCAGATCGCTCTCTCCTCCTCTGCCAACCACTTAGCCATATCATTCCCCTGTCTCAAATCGATCTCTGCTCCTCTTCCTCTAACCACTCAACCACGGTCTTCTCCGACGAGACCAGTCCGACGAGTGCTTCTTCTCCGACGAGACCAATCCAGCAGGTGCCCGTCTTCTCTCTCTAACAATCTCTCTCTGTCTATATGAATATATATATAGTTATTTCATGGAAAAAAACTTATTTCAGACTTAGTTTCATTTGTGCCTGTCATTCTCTTCTGATTCTTTGTTAGAGATTGAGCAATCTTTTTCTTTGTTTTGGTTTGTGGAGACTGGTTAATTCAGTTGATTTCTTTCTCTATAACTTCTGCAAAGCAGGCCTACAGTGTTCATATAAAAAAAGAATGTTGTCTCTGCGTATATGTTTAATCAAGAATTGTGATGTGATATGGGTTATTGATTTCTGTCAGTTTTCTCTCTTTAAAAACTCCAATTTTGACTACCCAAAAAATTACAATGAGAGATTGAGTTGCATATATAGACTAAGAAATATAGGAATTGAATGGAATGGAGATGTATGCATTACTCTGGTACATATCTGGTTTGGGTTAACTAACATATTAAGTTGAAAATTGTGGGTTTAATTGCTTGAAAATTGTGGGTTTAAGCTTCCACTTCAAGCCCTTAGAGAGGTATTTTAAATGGTCTTATATTGTAATTAAGTATTAGGTTTGTTGACTGTATATGTAGTTTGGTTTTTTGGATTGTGAATTTATTATATGATCTGAGCTATTTGATTCTTTTGGTTTGTTTTGGTGATTCAAATTGTGACAGAAGGGTTACTAGTTGTTTGGTCTTATTTGTGGAACCAGTAATTATAATTGAATTTTCAATGAGTTCCTCCTTTGAATTATGAAATTGTTACAATTGTGACCTCACGCAAGCTGCAAAGGTTTGCTTCTTGGTCTTGCTAAATTTTAATTTGTGATGTTTACTGCAATGCTATTTTTTGTGGCTATCCATCAATCCATTATGGAACTGATATTTTATAAGTTAATACCCACAAATTTATCGCATTTATTAGTCATTTTTTGGTTTGCTATTTTTTTTAGGTGGAAGAGTTTAGTGACGAGTTTGATGCTACAAGAAGCACTGGCTATCATCAAAGAACATATGTGCAATATAGTTGCAATACCTCTGTTGCAGATGGCATGGAAATTTTGTGCATCTCTGAAATACCGAAAATTGTGAATATGAAATAGAAATCTTTTCAATACATAATGGCTTCTTTACAGATTTGTCGAGTTGAATTGAGTTGGTTCATATGTTCCGCTAGTCATTTTTCGAGTTGTCGAGTTGGTTCATATGTTCTGCCATTTCTAGCCCCTCTTTTCATTGCTAGGCAATGGTGGAGCAAACTGTGTCCATAGTGTGGTTCAGCCCTGTAGATGTTGCCTCAAGCAAGATACTCCTCTTACTTTTCATGAAATTCATTTCTTTCTCGACTTCAAATATTGTACAATGAAAGATCTAAGTAAACATGAAGTGAGAAGGTTAATCTTTCATATAATAACCAACAAATGAGGCAAGTTATTCAGAACACAAGCTTAATTGAACAGGATTAACCCAATTTTAAATTAACAAAGGTCGGGAAAAAAAAAAGTATCAATCACGACCATAATTTACAGCAATGTGCTCTCAACTCACGCAACCATGCTAGAGTCTATTTAGCAAAGAAGCAGAAATAATCAGACATTATGATATGCTAAGAGGCAACAACAAAATTGGAAGCAAGCCTCAAATCAGACATAATTGGACATTGCTGCAGCTGGTATTTGTGCATCACCATGCTATTTGTGAAGGCCCTCTACAACATAAATGTAAAACGGGGTGTGCCAATGTTTTGTCCCCTCTCTTGAAGTTTCCTCCCTTGCTAAGTAGTTCTTCCCTAGTAAGGTTTAGGTATTTTTAGCCACGGATTAGGAACATCTTCTCTCAGCCATTGCCATCTACAGGAGAGTATGTAAAAAGTTTCAGAAAAAAGAACTGCTAGAAAGATGAGTAAGTACTAGAAATATGATTGGATCATTAAAAGCACAAAGCATATAGTGATTTCATTTGAAATGGACTGATGCCTCAGATCAAATGAAATATATGAGGAGTAGTTGCTTACATTTATCCATTCATCATTTGGATTGATGTCCACAGGTTTCATAATCATGATACCAACTCATTCATTACATAATAATCATGAAATTATAAAAATAAAATTGGGAAAAAAATCAAATAAAAATCTGTCGAAGATGAAACACATATCTGTATCATGAATCGCTCAATCCTAGAACCAGAAAAATGCATCTCGACTGTGAGCCTTCCAAACTCTTAAAGCCTTAATAGAAAATCACACCCATTATCCCTAACAGAATGCCTTAAAGTAGCCCTAGCTTCACCAGGCTTCCCCTCTTTCCTTTTGTCCATCTCTTGGGCCTGACAGAAAAAATGCATACATCATAACGAAAGGAAGAAGGAAAAAACAGCAAACCAAGCCTAAATTTATCCTAACCTTCCACTGAAACTGATCATCCAACATGCTTCTTTGTGCTTCTATCAGCTTCCCAACATTTTTCCATATGTCATCACCTGAAAAATAATTTCATCAAACAATCCAAGCAGGAAGGATAAACAATAATAACAAGATGCACCCCAATAAAAGCAACAGATGAATATCCCCTTTTTTATGCATATATAATGCTCTCCTAATGACTATCCATCCATATTGTTGAGCTTTTTTCAAAAACATAATTTACTACACAATAAGTTCAACAAAATGCAAGGCTAAGCAAACAAGTGAAAAGTGGCAAATTTCATTTAAATATCTCACTAGATCAGTCTACAATAAGTGTATGACATCACAACTCACCAAGAATCTTATAACCAGTAGCTAGAGTATTTAAAGCCGCCCTCCTAGTTTCACCATTTCGTACAGCTGTTAAACTTGCAACAATTTGCAAGCATTTTAGCTGTCCAACTATCTGTGGAAAGGGGTTTATCGTTATCAAAAAAAAACCCATCAATTATAGAAATCTAGCAAACCATAGCAAAATCTATGGTTTACTTTGGTACTTATTTCTCAACAAGTATGCAGTCCACGAAAATAGGTGGGATTTAAAGCAACATCCTAGAGAACGAACATGGACCGACATGCAGTCTCTAAAAACAGTGAGACATCAGTGCAGCATTCAAACGAAAATTTGATCACAGTAAATTCATCACGAAACTAAAAGTAAAGAAAATATCTCCTCTCAAAACATAAAACTTTGTTGTCTGCCATGAATCAAGGGTTTGTTTATGAAAAGACTAGTGACATAAGAGCATCGAACTTCATTTTCCCTTCTCTTTACCCCCTTAAGTTAACAAGGCTTTAAGATATTTCCTTCCACACCTTGTCTATCCCAAATGTACCAGTTTCATCCCCAGCCACTTTAATCCCTCACCATCAAGCATACCAATACATATAAAGAGGGATATAACTTGATACAGACGATATAGCAAAATCTTGATAAAACAAAGAAAAAAAAATACAAGAAGCGCAAACAACCAACCCAACAATAGCAATGCATATATCCATCTAATATTATATTTTGCTAGTTAAGAATTTTAAACAATCCCTTGAAGAATTCAACTTTTGTACACACAAAAGCATATTACTATAACATTATTCCAACAACCCTAAACAATAAGCAGTATAATCCCTTCCAAATTTTGTTAGAAAAAAGCATCCCTCATATTTGTTTGTAAGCACAAAAAAACCATAATACAACGCATCAACGTAACAAAAAGAAGTTTATCCAGTCGAACACATACCCAACCACAAGCACGCACGAATACCCACGCACAAAATCTCTCTTTTTAATTGTATATAATGAATATATTTGGTGTATAAACCCAACCCATTACTCGCCAAACCTAATTCATATATCCCAACACTAATTCAAATAAAGCCCATAAATTTCCACAATTCTCTCAGTCTACCGCCTTGTCAAAATCATTCAACTAAACCACTTCCATCAAATTCAAAAACACATAACATATAAAATCACACCCACACACATACATACATATGGAATAGATATACTGACCAGTAGGGATACTTGGGTTCCTCTCTTACCTTTCTTCTTAGTAGAATCTGGAACAAAGAACAGGTTTTAATGGCTGATCTGATTTTGAGTTGCGCTAGGGTTTGAATTGAAGGGTTAAGCGTCGGATTAGCATCATTTAAATTGATTTAGGGCAAAAATCGATTTTGGGCAAAAAATATTTAGGGCAAATATGGAGAATGGAGAAACTGCTCAGTCGATAGTGGAGGTTGTGGTCAGTCTCTTAGTTAAAGTCGCTGGTGGAGCATTGTGCACGCTGGTGGAGGCTGTGGTCGCTGGTGGAAGTCACTGGTCGCTGGTGGTGGCTTTGTTGAAGTCGCTGATTGGAGCTCGTCGGAGTCTTGTCTGACTAAGACTGGTTGAGGAGGAGCAGAGCTAAGTGGTCTGAAATTAATTTAAGCAGGAGTAGCCTGTGATATGTGAAATTTAAGGGATATGACAATAAAATTGTCATCGTAAATGACGTTTTTAAAAACGTTATCGCAAATGACGTTTTTAAAAATGTTATCGCAAATGACGTTTTAACTCTTTTATTTTTTTTAACTTCTGTTAGGCACCGTTTAAAATTCTTGTTACAAAACGTCGTTAGGAATGACGATTTTAAAAACGTCATTCTTAATAACTTTTTTGGAAAAAAAAAAAATTATGTTGAAATCGTCATTCTAAATGACATTTTTAGGCGAGAATGTGTCATTTCAAATGACATTTTTAAAAAAGATTGAGTTTGAGAATTTTTAATAATGAGATTTTATTTTTTTTAAATCCAATGATTATTTTTATTCTCATTTAAATGGCAGATAGCCCTATATTTCTTGGTTTTAATAGGATTTCTTGTAAGCGTTATTTCTATCTACTATTATCTAATATTTAAAAATAATCAAGTTATTAATAACTGAACAAAATTACACGAGTAAAAATTCGTCAATTGTTGAAATATGTCGAGGTGCTCCCCCTAGTCTTCGAGTGTCATCCAATCCATAAGCTGCAAGGCAAAAAGAGGTTAGAGGGACCCTTTGCGTTGAGCCAGGAGAGGCCCCTCCAATGTCTAAGTTAGTACTGTGATCCATACTGAATAGACGAGTGTATAAACTAGAATCATAACATAAGTGTGTGTGTGTGAAGTATAGAGCCGAGGTGCTCTTCCTTCAGGGCCCCCTCTTTCTTGTGTCTTCACCCATATATATAGAGAGAGAGGATTAGAGAGCTACTTATTGTGCAGCTGTCTAGGTAGGGAGATAGGCATGGCTAGCCTACTAAAAACACTCATTACTTGTCATTATTTATTGTAACGGGCCCTACTTGTAATATATGTCAATTCCTTCATTGGGAGTGGGCTGGTGAACCCACTTGACAAAAATGTCCTGCCAAAAACCAAGAAATAACCTGACTACGTTTTCTTGTTTGAAATTTTAGGTCTAGTCTTCACTAGTATTTGTTTTTTGCTCATCCACTACGTTTTTTCTTTTAATTTCTTCCCTCACTCGGTCAAACTGTTTGAGGTCGATGGTGCATTCGATAAGCTCTTTTGGTATTCACTAAAGTTCCTATGCGATCCATTTCTTTTCTTCTTCAATTGATCATAGTTATACTATTTTGTGACTCCCACATGATATAACTGGGTTCCAAACCTCGCCTTGATAAAAAAGATATTGTTGTTACTTACAGATTTCTTTAAGTTTGTCTCCATTTAACTTTGAGTTTGTATGAGTGAAAAGTGAATGGATGGAAATTAATGGATGAAAAGTAGGAGTTAAAAAGGAAAGATAGAGAGAAAAGAAAAATGGATGGAAAGACAATCCCTCCCGCCTAAAACAGACAAAAATGGCAAAAAGTACATGAGCACGACATGGGGTCCACATCTTAATAACTAATTACCATTTAGTCATTTGGAGTTCATGTTACAAGTCAACATATTATTCATATTCTATCCGGATATCTTTGGTCTTTCAACATATTATTTATATTCTATCTGGACGTCTTTGGTCTTTCATTAGCAATGATGTTGCCACACCATAAGTTGGGAGAGGCCTTAGGGCCTAGGTGGGTAAGGGTTGAGGCTATCCTACATCAGATAGTCTTCAGGGGTGTGTGTTTAAATGGATGTTATGGCCCTCACACTTTTAAGTGTGAGTGATTATAATTATCCTATGTTCAAAAAAAAAATAAAAAATTAGCAATGATGTTACTTTATTTTTTTTCATACCAAATAAAATAATAACAAAATTATTTCTTCCACTTTTCCATCCTTCTTATCAAATATAAATGATGAAAAAACTCTTTATTTCCTTCAAGGTTAAAAAACTTATGGATCATTTGGTAACGTTTTTGTTTTGACGTTTTCAAAAAATTTAAAAACAGAGACAAAAGTTGTCATTGTTTTGTGGTGAACATTGAAAACAGAAACATGTTTAGGAGTCTTTGGGGGTGACAAGATAACCCTCAAACAAATCCCTAAACTAATAAAGTGCAATATTGTTACTCAAGGCCAAAATCAACCCTAACCCAAAATTTTATTGAAAGAATATTACAATAAACAAAAGGGGAAAACCCCATTTAAAATACACTTATGATTTTTATCCTTCAAAACATTCAATTAGCCTAGAAATTTGCACCAGGGCTCCTTTGAACTTCTCAAATCAGCACCCCTACCAAACTTTCAACAACTTCAAACTAACAAAGCTAAACCAAAATCATCAAAAACCACCACCTTTTTAGTTTGCAGAAAAGGCAACCTGCTCAGGTCCTGCACCATCCTCATCTGTAAAATAGTAGCCAACACATTAGAGACAGAAAAATCCGAAGAAAATCCATTCAATACCGCTCTATTCGCAAGCCCATCAGCTACCGAATTAGCTTCCCTATAAACATGCCTCATCTTAAACTTCACCCTACTCAAAAGCCTCATAATTTGAGCAAGAATCCCCCACAAAGGCAATGACACAGTAAAATACCTTTTAAAGTATTGAAAAGCACCAAAGAGTCTCACTCAATATCAATATTATAAGCAAATAAGCCATATCTGTCCACCAACCTCAACCCATCTAAAAGAACTCTGAACTCAGCCTCTACATTCGAACAAACACCATAAGAAAAAGATGTCGCCAATACCATCCTTCCCCATTTATTTCTTAACTACTAATGGAATCCGAAAAATCAACCCCAACCCTTAGTGCTATTGAAATCAGATCTCACTCACACACACACAAATCAGACACATACATACACACAAAAATCAAACACACACAGAGAAATTAGACGCAGAAATCACACACACAGAGAGACCCACCCACACATCAGACACATAGAGACCCAAAAATCACAGAACACAGACAAACACAGAAATTAGACACACATAGAAGCAATGATGGAGGCAGAAATCATACACTCGAGATTTGAGATCTCTTTGTTGCACAGACCAAGGTGAGAGAGAGAGAGATGTGATGAAGAGCCATAGAAGCAACGATTAAGGTAGAGATGGAGGCAGCGATAGAGAGGGACACATCAATGGAGGCAGCGATGGAGAGGGATGCATCGATGAAGGCAACGAAGGAGATAAAGACAGAGATGGAGAGAGAGGCAGTGAAGGAGAGAGAGAGAGGCAGATGGAGGCGCTCGTTTGATATAGAGAGAGGAGAGAGAGAAGCGATGGAGAGGAGAGAGAGGCGGTGAAATGAGTTTTTATATTTCAATAAATTTTTTTTTATTTTACTGTTAAGAGGACTAGAAACCTAAATTTCATTAATTTCCCCACAACCGTGCATGTGTTGTCTTTATTTTTGGTGTTTCTTGAAATATCTTTTTTTTGTTTTTATTTTTTTGTCTTTGTTTCTAGACAACTAATATAAAACAAAAACAAAAACAGTACTCAAATATATTTTTAATTTTTATTTTTGACAAAAATTGAAAACAAAAATATAAAACACAAGACAAAGACATTAAACAAACAATCCCTTACTCGTTTCATTTTTCCATTCCTTCACTGCTTTATCCTTCCTATTAAATAGACCATTAAATTTGAGTTTCTCTTCTCTCTTTTTTACTCAAATTTTGATAAGAATTAGAGATGTGTGCTCTCTCTATAAATTGTCACCATGATTCGTGGAGTTATTTATAATACAAAAAAAATAATAAAAATAGTTATCATAATAGTAATAAAAAAATCTACAATAATTTTCTTTGTACAAAAAAAGCAAACATTGCCCAGTTTCTGGTTTGTTCCATTAGCTGCAAGCAAATGTTTTATGTAACAGCAAATGTTTTATGTAATAGAAACCTTTTGGAGTGAGATACCGAGAAACGGTTTCTTAACATATTATTGATAAACAAATGGGTTTGTTTGTGTGGGTT